GTTCAGCCATTCCCCAATGGATGGGCATCCTCTCAATTTCCAATTCTTTGCCACCACAGAATGAGCTGCTACAAATATTTTTGTACATATGTGTCCTTTTCCAATTTTTATGATCTCTTTGGGATACAGACCTAGAAGCGGTACTGCTGGGCCAAGGGATATGCACAGTTTTATAGCCCTTTGGGCATAGTTCCAAATTGAAACAGGCAGTTTTTTGATGAAGAAATCAAAACTACGTATAGTCATATGAAAAAATGCTCTAAATCATTATTGATTAGTGAAATGCATACTAAAACAACTTTGAGATATCATCTTATACCTATCAGATTGGCTAAAATGATAGAAGGGGAAAGCAAAAAAAATGTTGGAGGGGATGTGGAAAAATTGGGCCACTAATTCACTGTTGGTGGATCTGTGAACTGATCCAACCATTTTGGAGAGCAGTCTGGAATTATTCCCAAAGAGTTATAAAACTGTCAATACCCTTTGACCCAGCAATACCACTATTTCGCCTGTTTTTCCAAGGTGAAAAAGAAAAGAATCTATACGTCCTAAGATATTGATAGCAGCTCTTTCTGTGGTGGCAAAGAACTGGAAATTGAGGGGATGCCCATCCATTGAGGAATGGCTGAACAAGTTGTGGTATATGATTGTAATGGAATTCTACTGTCCTATAAGAAATGACGAGCTGACATTGTGCAATGATCAACTATGATTTACTTAGCTTTTCTCAGCAATACAATGATCCAAGACAATTCCAAAGGACTTATAATGGAAAATGTTATCCACATCCAGAGAAAGAACTGAATGCAGATCGAAGCATACTATTTTCACTTTTTTGTGTTTTTTTTCCCTTTTTGGTCTGTTTCTTCTTACACAATATGACTAATATGGAAATATATTTTACGTGATTGCATATATATAACCTATATCAAACTGCTTACCATCTTAGGAAGGGAGGGAGGAAATTTGGAACTCAAAATTTTATTAAAAAAAAAAGAATGTTAACAGTTGTCTTTGTTATTAGAAATGTAATTGGAAATCTAATTGGAAAAAATAAAATACTATTTAAAAGAAAAAAGAAATGATGAGCTGGTTGATTTTAGAAAAATATGGAAAGACTTACATGAAATAATGAAGAGTGAAATGAGGAGTACCAAGAGAGTGTTGTGCACAGTAACAGCAATATTGTTCTAAGAACTTTGGATGACTAAGTCATTTTGAGTATTATAAATACTCAAATCAACTCCAAAGGACCTATGAAGGAAGATGCTGTCCACCTCCAGAGAAAGAACTGATAAATGGAAGCATACATAGTACGGTTTTACATATATACATATACATATATGTGTGTGTGTCTAATGGTAGCATTTTCGAAGGCAGGGTGGGAAGAGAGAGGGAGAAAAAAAATAAAAAGTACATAGCAGAGAACCAAAGAAAACTTAGAAGGAAGCACACAAAAGCAGGGTACCTTTCAGAATGATGTGTAGAAAAAAGAGACAGTGGATAGCGCACTGGCCCTGAAGTCAGGAGGACCTGAGTTCAAATCTGGCCTCAGACACTTGACACTTACTAGCTGTTTGACCCTGGGCAAGTCACTTAACCCCAATTGTCTAAAAAAAGAAGACGAAAGAGACAGCTACACACAGTGAGACATGCAGATTGAGGGGGCAAATATACACAGACAGACAAATAGGGTAAGGTAGGGTTCAAGAGAGAACACGCAAAGTTAGAGAGTCATACAGGTTTAGATGGGAAAGCACACATTAAGAGTCACAGAGGGCTGAGGAGAGTAGCCTGAATCCAAAGAGTCAATCACACAGGAAGAGAAAAGATTTAGAGGGAGAGTCACACACATAGGATTGGATAAAGATACATCCAAAGATAGTCGGAGACACAAACACAAGGTTGGGGGGGGGCAGCACACAGAGACACCAAGGGATAGAGAATCACACATATGGAAGGGGACTCAAACATAGAGACAGAGACACACAGAAGAGGGAGAGGGAGACAGAGACCTACAGATAGTGAGAGAGAGAGACAGAGAGAGAGAGAGAGAGAGAGAAACATAGAAAGAAACAAAATCACCAAAAACAAACAAACAAAAAAACAACAACCCAGAAGCAGAGACAGAAACTGAAACCCCAAAAAAGACAAAGAATCAGAGAGCAATACAAAGGAAGAGGGAGAAAGAGAGAGTGAAAGAAGGCAAAGGGCAGACCCCTCAGGTTGCCTGCTCCTCATGATGAAGATGGGATCTGAAGCCCTAAAAGGAAAAGCCCTGGACTTTCCCACATAGCCAAATCTCAGGCCTAAGGCTATAATCCTATCCTCTGACCTTTTCTTATTGCCTACACCCAATCTCCCAATTCTCTGTTACTCTTAATTGAGCCTAGCCCTATATTGTCTATTACCTCCCTATGGCCCCCAGCCACTTCCCACCTTTGATCCTATCTAGACCCCATTCTACCTCCTCCAGTCACCCCAGTCTACTGGCTACTCCCATCAAGATCCTCCCTAGACCCCCTTCTCCCGGACCCTCTCCTCCAGTCACCCCAAATAACTTGGCCACTCCCAGATACCTCCCACAGTCTTTCTGTATATAAGGTCCATCTTGTCTCCATTAAGGTGCTCAGATTCTTTAGGAGTCTAGCCAAACAGGCCAGCTAGGTGGTGCAGTAGATAGAGCTCCAGCCTTGGAGTCAGAAGGACCTGAGTTCAAATCTGACCTCAGACCCTTGACACTTACTAGCTGTGTGACCCTGGGCAAGTCACTTAACCCCGATTGCCTCACCAAAAAAAAAAAAAAGGAGGAAAAAAATAAAAGTCTAACCAAGGGCTCACAAATGTTCAGACTCCTTAAGAGTCTGGCCAATATGGCAGACCGTTAACAAACCTTGTCTCTGACTTAAAGAAGGTTTGAGTTGAATTCATTCGGGCAGGACCTGTATGTTGTGATTTTGGGGTCTCAGCACCCCTAAACCTCAACACTGGGGGGCCTGTCCAAGTTCACCTGTAGTACTTCTGCTGCAGCTGGTGGTAATGCTGAGAGGCTGCCTCCAGGAACTGCATGGCCTTCTTGTTTTCCTCCTCAAACAGGTGCCTGGAAAAGTTGGCCCTAGCGTCAGCACCACCCTGTACCTTCCCTGACCTTCCCAGCCCCAATCAGTCTTCCCCCTGCCTCACATGGCAGCAGCAGCTTCCTCACTGCGAAGGAAGGTGTCCACACTGTGGACAGCCAGAGCCTCAGCCTTGGCCTTGGGGTGAGGCAGTCCAGGTAGTTGTTTCTCCATGGCATCCAATTTCTCCTGAATTAGCTTTTCTGTTTACCAGGAAACGAATTTCAGGTGTCTCCTCATAGATTTCAAGGCTTTCCCACTCCCCATTTGATGTTCTGCTAACAGCCAGCTTCCCCTCAGTGGTCTCTCGGAATAGGTGGCCACCCAGCCTCAGGCTTGCAAGTTCCCAGGGATAAGGAGCTCCCAAATGCACAAGGGGATTCCATTCATCTGTTCCTCCTCCATCACTCCCTCTGTCCCTCACCCAAAGACCCTTACCCTCCAGTAGAAGCTGTTCCTTGCTACTGGCTGTACTGTTGATTTCTTGAGCCAGCGTCTCTGGTGTCTAATAAAAGGGAGGGCAGTTGGATGTAAGGTTCCTTCCTTCCTCTGAAATTCCCCCCAACTCAGATTACAGAATCTCAGAGTTGGAAGGGACCTCACAGGCCATCTTATTCTACCAATACCTAAATAAGAATCCCTTTTGCACAGTGTGACCCTGGGCAAGTCACTTAACCCCGCTTGCTTCCCCCCAAAAAAAGCAAAAAAGAAGAAGAAGAAGAAGAAGAAGAAGAAGAAGAAGAAAGAATCCCTTCTGCAAACCAGTCTGCACTTGATAACTTCCAGTAAAAGGAGACATATTTCCTTATACGAAATGCATCTAGGCTAGGCCTTCATTGGACGGGCTACCTGCTTCACTTAGTGACTCAATATGACCTCCTACTACTGTCCCCATTCATCTTCTGCTCCAGCTGGAATAGACCTTCACTGCCACCCCCACCCTTCCCAATCATGTTGGTTTCTGCCTCTGTACCTTTGCTCTCATGTTCCCGTACCCACCATGACCTGAAATGCTTTCCACCCCATTTCTCTGCTGCTTTCAACCCTAGAATCTCCCTCACATTCAATCCCCATACATCCTTGTGCTTCCCCATCAGCTCCTCTAGCTGCTCTTCAAAGTCCAACCTGGGAAAAGAAAAGCAGAGAATGTACCCACACCCTCCAAACTTACTTTCCCTAATTCCAGTCATTGTTGCTTACAGAGGCCCCACCTCTTCTTAGATCGTTTCCATATACTGAACTTCACAGTTGATCATTTCCAGTGTCACTAAATTTCAGGACTGAAAAGGTACTTAACCAGCAATAGTTTAACCCTCTCATTTTATAGTCGGGGAAACCGAGGTCCAGGGAAGTGGAGGGAAGGGATTCTCTTAAGGCTTCCTAGTGAGTCAGTGGCAGAACCAGGATAAGACCTCAGGTCTCCTGTGTCTCAGTCTCAGATTCTGCATTGTCGATAGCACTCTGAGCCTTGGTACAAGCTGTTTAAAATGAGTCAGTACATTGCTGTGTAAGCTGAAGCGAGTCCCTCCCCTACCGTCCCAGTCTCTTCCCTTCCCAGCAGTTCAGGTTCCTGTTTGGGGCTCAATCTCCTCAGAGAGAAGGGCCACATCTGTCTATTTCCCTTTTGCCCCATTCCACGCAGGGGCTCCACCTGTCAGTAAGGGGGCTAGACTTGACTGCCTGTTTGGTATCATGGACCCTTCTAGCTCTAAGATTCTGTGGTTTTCAATCCAGTTTGCAACTGAATTCAGAGGGTATCGAATGCCAGCATAAAACTGAAAGAGGAGGCTTTACCTTTGCTTCCTCCTTCTTAGCTTCTCTTCCTGAATCTTAGAATTCAGATCCGCTATCTTCCGGATGCAGTCCTGAGACATAGCCTGTAGACTTGGAGGGGAAAGAAGGGACGAGGACGGGGTGGAAGGAGACGGGTGTGGAGAAGGCAATTTAACCCAAACTTACCCTCTTAGTCTCAGAGTTCCTTACACACACACACAGACACACACACACACACACACTCCATCCCACTCCTTCCAGCTCTAACCTGCTGTGAATCTCTAAACTATTACAGAGGTATTTTGTTTTGCCGGCAAGTTGTGTCCCTGTCAAACTTGTTCTGAATTGTGCCTCATATTAGAGAAGAGAATTTCTCTGTTATTGGGCAAGGGACTGGATTCAACGTTCTCTAAGCCCCATTTCGGCCTTGAGACTCCAGGAATCTGTGAATTCCATATTCTATAGAAATCCTGCCTTCTAAAAGAAGCCTTTCCCAACCCCTCTTAATTCTAGTGCCTTCCGTCTTTCAATTATTTCTATTCATCCTGTACATAACTTATTTGTACATATATGTTTGCATGTTGTTTCCCTCATTAGATTGTAAGCTTCTTGAGGGCAGGGACTGTCTTCTTTGCTTCTTTTTGTATCCGCAGTGCTTAGCCATAGTGACTGGCACATAGTAAGTGCTTAGTAAATGCTTAGTGCAGGGCAGCTAGGTGGCGGAGTGCATAGAGCACCGGCCCTGAGGTCAGGAGGACCTCAGTTCAAATCAGGCCTCAGACACTTGACTCTTACTAGCTGTGTGACCCTGAGCAACTCACTCAACCCCATTGCCTAGCAAAAAACAAAAAAAAAAGAAACAAAAGTAAATGCTTATTGCCTGCCTAACTCCGAGCTGTTGCAGGTCAGTAAGCAGAAGTAGAAAGGAACACCTATACTTAGAGGTTTATGTTCTCTTGAGTCCCGCTCCAAATTATGTCATATGTGAGAAGAGAATTCATCCTCCAACTGGGAGATTGGAGGGAATACCTTTGAAGGTCCCTACTGGCTCCCATGGACTGTGACTCGAAACCAACCCCTTCAAGAGACACAATGGGATTTTCATAAGGTCCTTTTAGAGCCGGAATTCTTCATTGTTTTTGGTCCTTACCCCTTGAGCTGTCAGATGAAGCCTATGGACACCTCAGAGTGTTTTAAAATAACTGAATTGTAATGTTGTATATCATCTAGAAGTTAGTGAAAGTAAAGATATACCTTTTTCCCATTCAAGTTCACAGACCCCTGGAATTTATCCGTGGAGCCCAGATTAAGAACCCCTATTCTCTAGTCCAGCTATTCTGGAAAGCAATTTGGAACTATGCCAAAAAGCTCTTCACCTGTGCATGCCCTAACCTGGCAGTACTGCTTCTAGGGTTATACCCCAATGAGATCAAAGACAGAGAGCAAAAGGCCCCACACGTACAAAACTATTTCGAGAAGCTCCATTTGTGGTGGCAAAGTCTTGGAAACTGAGGCAATGCCCATCAACTGGGGAATGGCTGAACAGATAATGGTAAAGGCATGTGATAAAATACCATGCTGCAGGAAATGACGAAGGGGATGCTTTCAGAGAATTCTGAGAAGACGTGTATGAACTGATTCAGAGGGAACTGAGGAGAACCAAGAGAACAATGTAGATAATAAAAACACTGTAGAGGCAAAGGATTTTGAATGATCAATGCAATGACCAACCACAATTCCAGAGGCATGGTGATGAGGCCTATTCCCCATCTCCTGACAGAGAGGTGCTGGACTCAAGTCCAGATTGAGACGGATTTTTTTATATGGCCAATGGGGAAATTTGTTTTGCTTGACAACACATATTTGGAATGAGGGCTTTGTTTTTCTTTCTTTATCAACAGGGGAGGTGAGAGTGACAAAAGGCAGATTTTTATCAACTGATTAAAAAAATAAAAATTTAGTTAAAAAACTCAAAAGCCCTGTTCTAGGATTTAACTTCCATCAAATGGCTAATAGGTCAGGTCTGGTGGAAGAAGGTGGAATGCCCCATGACTTAGCACTACCTCACCAGAAGCCAGATCTAATCCTTGCTTCTTGGCTCTTTCTGAAAGAATACAAACCACTTACCTCTGGATTTTGTTTTCTTCCTCGTTGCAGCGCTGTTGAAGGAGTTTCAGGGTTTCTATGATGAGAAAGAGAGGCCAATGGGAGGCTAACGCAACATTCAAAATGGCACCTGTAGGATATGGCTCAGCCTCAACAGCTTCCAGACAAGGGAAGAAGTTCCCCATCCCAGGAGACTTACCTTGCTTCATGCTCAAGATGTCCTCCAGATGGGTCTTTTCCGTGTTCACTGCAAGGGGCAGATATTTGACTGAGTGTCTTCCTCACCTCCATTTTGTACAGCCTACACTCAATGAGGTGGCAGTGACCCCTTTAATTTAGAGATGGGGAAAACTGAGAGCCAGAAAGGGAAAAGCAAGGGGCAGCTAGGTGGCGCAGTAGATAGAGCACTGGCCCTCGATTCGGGAGGACCTGAGTTCAAATCCACCCTCGGATACATAACACA